CTGAGTCTTTTCACAAAATGGCTGAATTGTCTTCCTGAGAGCCTCTGGGTATCCCGTTCCCTATAGGTCAGCCAACGTGACCGTTCCCAAGCTCCATTGACTCTCGGCCTTAGCCAATATGACCGTTTCTGAGTTCTCTAGTCTCTCTGCCCTACCCAAAATGGCTGATTTCAAACTCTTTTAACTCTCTGCCTGGCCCAAGATGGCCAATCCCGAGATCTTTGAACGCTCTGCCTCATCCAAGATGGCGAATACTGAACCCTTTAACCTGGCCGTGAGGCCTGACATATATCTTGTGTCTCTGTCTCTCCTTCTACCTAGGTTGCTGTTGCCTCCAGTGCCTCCTTCAAATCCGGTTCCAGTCTGGCTTCCTGCTCGGCCGGCTCCACCTTGGCTTCCTGTTCTACCAGCTTCGCCTTGGATTTCAAGCCCTTCCTGTAAATTCAGATGTGTACTGTATGTCCTGAAATACTGTAAATCATAGGGTAGCTTGGAGGTAGATACCCCCCTAGTCAAGATGACCAGGTGACCACAAAATCTCATCTTTGCACTTTTGATGAATGGCTACTCTTTTTTCAATTTTGTCTTTTCATCTAAATTTCAACATTTATGAAATTTAGTCATTCAAAACAGTTTTGTGGTTAATTGATCTAATTTTGTGTCTCTGGAAAATAGTAATCTATTATATTGTACTGTAATCAAAGTATTTCGTGTATACTTCTGTAATTAATTGAGTTTTTATTTATTTGGTAATATTTCCATTAATGTACATTTCAGACATGTATTGCTTTCATTAAAATGTATAGGTTATTATCATTCAACTTGATTTCACTGTGTTTCTATTATATCTTCAATTAAAATATGGGCAATATATGGAAATATTAATATGCCTGTATTTGAGTCATAATAATTTTACCTTTTAGATAAATCTGGAATTCTGCTTTGTCTGTAATCGGTTATGTAATTATTCAACTCAATTATTGTCTAAATACATTTTTTAATTGAATAGTTGAATTAGTATTTTATATTATATAAATATATATTATATAAAATAATACAGTTTATCCAGGTATGGGGGGACAACTTATAGGGCCATCTTACCCCTCTTTTAATAGCCTATTTCATATTTTGTGTTATAACAACTAAATTAGGAAACGTTTCTATACTTATTTCTCATAATAACACATAGGCCGATGCATCATAATCATGCACATTCAAAATTTACAGATGCAATAGGTTACAAATTAAAAGTCTTTCATTTTTCAAGAATTTTGACAAGAATCAAACATTCAGGCTTCAAGACAGACAGTGCTATGCATTACACGTTGAACTCACAAAAGATGAACATGTCTGAGTAGGTTTTTCAATAAATATGCCAGACTTCATTGTTGACTTGATTGTTTTGCTCATTGCTGAGAGAATTAACAGGAATTAGAGAGAGAGGAAAAAAAATAAGAAACACCTGGAATATTTCTTTGAAATGCAAATTTGCATATTAGTGTCACAGGTTAACCTTAATCCTAACCCTAACCCGAACTAAAAGAAATGAAACAGAATATCATAACGCAGGGTCCATAACACAGGCCTACACCTGACAAGGAGTTTACTTGGGTAAATTATTTAAAATTCAAAATACCCATATTTACTTACAGTAATTGTGATACTGATGTAAAAATAAATTTTAAAATTAAGACATTCATGATGTGGACATGCCATAATGTACGTTAGAAGTTACTCTTTAACCTCCCATTTTTACGAATTGTGCATTTGTCCAGAAGAGAGATTGGGTGACCTCTGCATGGGCACAAGGGTTGTTCTTCAGTGTAAGTTGAAGGCAAGCAGTGGGGCTTAGGGCAGAACGCTCAAGTTACCTAGAGCTTTTAGACATCATTAGAAATTACAACTATTGATCCCTCTGAGAGCAACAGATGGAGCTCATCTTGCCTCAGAGGGTTCGGAGCCAGCCGATACAGTAAGCCCGGAATGACCAGACAGAAACACTATAGCATAATATTCAGTTCATGTAGTTGACATGCATTGTAAGTCTTTATTTATTTCATTTTTTTTCATGCCATGATTCATTTAATGTGCCTTGCCCAGCAAAAAGGGGAGGTTCTGGCAAGGTTCTCTCAAAGTTATGAACAAATAAAAGAATGTTTGTATCTGATCTTAATAATGTTCTCAAAACATCAGCACAAAAACATAATTTTTTTGAATGCCCAGAGTACATTCATAAATAACTTTTTTCATAAATTAATAAACATTAGCAAACCATTCTCAGAACATTTTTTGTTAGCTTGGAGTGTCCATTTTTTATATATAGGCTTTTTAATATATATTAATATATTAAATATTTATATTAAAATATTTTAATATATAAAAGTATATTAAATACTTTTTTTAAATATATTTTATATATATTATATATTTATATATATATATATATTTATATATATATTTTTATATATATATATATTTTATATATAAAATGTCAAATAAAAGGAGTTGTTTTTGGCCAGTCATGTAATTTCAATAAAAATTTATCATTTTTGTGCTTTAATAAAATGCAATTTTAACCATATTGGCCAAAAGTAGGCTACTATTTTCAAAGTTTTTGAAAGTAAAAAAATTACTTTGTGCATCTTTAAGACAAGATATATTTATAATCTCAAAATAGGCCTAGTGTTATACTCAAGTGTTCATTTTGGCCATTCCTTTTCTGTTCTATCAGCTACACTCAAACATACACACAGTGACAGGTTTTCTTCTGACATCAATAGCTATTCATTACATGGCCTGAACAAAGAGAATCAGAATACGTGTCAGTTTAGGCAAGCGAACACACACACGGGCTCAGGGCCTGAATCACATGCACGCCGTCACAGTGTGTGACAGCATTGATGAGATTTGTGGAGGCTCCAGCAGTCACAATGAAAATTAATACGACAGCAGGGACTGGCGCAAGCAGTCAATCAGGGGCAAGGTTCTTATACCAGCCTGACGAGGTCCGGCTTAGACGGCCAGTGTCAGTCTCAGGGGACAAGGGCACTGAAAAATGATCGCATCCTCTTGTCCGTGTACAAGAGAGCCGGGGGAGAATGAGGAGTCTGGAACTTCCTGGAATCTTGTAGAATAAATTCATTTAAAAGCATCATGCTCGAGCATCATTTGCCACGGCCCGACAGATATATTTAATCTCTCCTTTTATGACTTCATGCTGAGACAACACAATCAATTAACAAATGTCTTTGTCTTCATCTGTGCCAAAACATCTCTAATTGAATTCTGTGTTTTTTTCTTTCCTTTACATGGGTATCTGAACTTCAATTTCAAGATTAGTTTATTACTGGATCAGGCCATTTAACAACTTGTGCCTGTATCTAATTATGTCTGTATGTGTGCTCAGTCTCCAATTTTTCAAACCAATTATAAAAAAAAGAAAATGAATGCATGCATATCTTTTGTTCTTTTCTAAAGAAAACATTCTTTGGCGTTTCATTAAATGAATGACATTTGGCTTTTTAGACTTAAGTTTTGAATATTTAGCCAAAACAAAAGTTCTTCAAAAGAAGTTTTCTCTCAAAGCCATGGCCATAAATTTTTCCAACTTGTTTCTTTTTTTTAACAGATCTCGTGTTTACAAGTATTACCAATAAAAAGGTGAAGAAAATCTCAAAGGACAATTTTAATGCTTGGATGTTGCTCTTTCATTGCTCATTAGCTTTAACTAATGTTTCATGAAAGCAGCAACCCAAAGCAGACACTTTTTTCAGATGTTTCTCCAGTATATCGAGAACTAAAATGAATGTATAATTTGATCTTATTGTTCAAATAAAGGTTCCAACAGGTTTTTTCCACAGCAATGCCAAGCCAACTATTTTGGTTTCCCCAAAGAGCCTTTCAGTTCTTAAAAGAAGGTCTCTTTTGTGTCTTAGTGTGAAGAATATTTATACGTTTTTTTTTTTTTTTCCATTTAGTAGGCCTATAAAGATCTCTAAATTTTTTCCTCTGAGAAGCTGCTGCCCATTAGTTCTCCATTGAAACAATTGTGATTACTGTTTTGGCTTTTTAACTGTACATTTTGGCAAATTGGTTCAAAATTGTCTAATTGGTTTTTACCACACACAAAAAAAGAAAGAAAGACAAGCAAGGTCAAATTAACCATTGCTCTGCAAAACTTTACCTGCAAAATCCAGTCAAGAATCCACATAGGGAGTTTTGCGAAACCCATCCAGCAACATGTCGGCCCGGTACGCGCTGAACCCATATGTGCCGGATCTGGGCCGGGTCTGGGCCGACACTATGTTGCTGTCTGGGAAGATTAATTCCACACAAAAATTTTGCAATAGGTTCAAGTTTGAAAGTGATTGCTTCATACATTGCAGCGTTATTGACAATGGAACTCTGTTGTTCGTGAAATGTTGCTTATATTCCTTCGTATGAATTCTTATATTTTCGTATGATCTCACTCAATTTTAACCATTCCATACAAATTAGCCAACAGTAGCTACATTAAAGGCTATACAATGTCACCACTTTGAAAATAGTTTCATTTTCTCATGAAATCAGGTTGATTGAGATGTTGAAACCTCATTTGGCATTTTTCTGTTGAAAGGAACAAACTATTTTTAGTCCAAAAATGAGTCCAGAGAACAGTTTATTTGTATGCAGCTGGGTTGTGTAAGATTATTCACACTTTATTTATGCATTCTTTATGAATCAGTTGGGGAAGGGGAATAAATAACATTCTGAACACAGATTGTTATGCATATTGTGCCATCGGGGTTTGATTAGAGAGGTGTGAAGGGGTGGGGGAAGGGTACACCTCCTTTGGGAAACATTCTTTCTTCTTTGTGTACCTTCACTGTGTATTAAAATAAAAAAAGAGGTTTATTTACTTGCTTTGCATTAATAATATTCCCTTTTTGAATCAAATAGCGTGAGAGGCAGGGGAGGGGAGAGATGAGGGAGTGGGAGGGGAATGATTTAGGCTATCATGAAAGGAAGATAGAGATATAGTGAGGAAGAGGGATCGTGTCGTGTAGACGACAACATCCTTATTGTGACGGAGGTTGCAGTTGCTTGGCAAAGAGAGAGAGAGAAAAAAATTCGTAACATTAGCTAGGCTATAGAAAAAGGCAAGTGGCCGTTATTACGCAGCGCGCGGCATCAGCAGCGTCACCGGAGGAGGAAGAGAGACGCGTGCACGTCCTCATTCAAAGCTGTTTTACAAAGGTAAGAAAGCGCGTTTAAATTACCATAATTATTCACTTAACAATTTTATTTATTTTTGCTGTAAATTTCTGTTTGGTTTTTCGAGGGACAATTAGGACGACAGGCGTTGAAATAGACTGCTCGGAGAATTGAAGCGTCCCAGTCTAGCGGAATTATTATTTTGGTTATATTTCTGTGTCACACTGCAGTTATTAGGACGCCAATATGGAATAAAGACGTTTTGTTGAATAATGTGGCGGACGTGGTGTCGGATAGTGGCGGCGTTTTGTTTACACGGGAGTGACGACCCTTATTGAAATCATAACGGCTGATAGGCAGGCAGGCATGTGTCTTCTTACCTTAAACACCTGTGCAAACGACTTACCAAAGTCAGCCTAAATTAGGCTATTCTTTGAGGAAGACTGTTATACTAGAAGTGTTATTATAAGGGAGACCTGGTGCAATTGTAACACTCAAACGTTCTGTGTTGAATTAAAGACTAACGTTGCCAATGTGGAGGGGAGACCGGGGCATGTTGTCACAGAATGACGTTTTGAGGCAATGTCCAATTTGGACATTTGGACACTCAAAACGTCCTTCTATGACAAAATTCAATTACACTTATGTGTGGTTTGCCTTGCAGTTGTTTTGTATGTTGGTTTCAGACACCTGCAAAACTTGAAGTTGTCACATTGTTATTATTACCGGGGCAAGTTGTCTCATGTGGTTTAAATTAGCCTTAACTTTTATTGTTAAATAAAAGTGTATTTTTTTTTGTTTCATAATAGTTTAATTTAGCTACAAATCCATTTTGTAACAATAATTAATTGTAATTGTTACAATATTCAATAGTTTTTTTTATAGCCAAGTATTTCAGGTATCTATATAGCTTACATAAATTTACTTTAAAAAATAAAGTTGGCTACATGTTGTAAAGAATGCAGACTGAGTCTGAACAAATTGCTCCAGTTCATAAATTCTGATCAAAATCAGACCAAGGTCAGTATACCCCAATACTAACTGCCTTGTTCTGTGACTCAGCCAATGACACCAAATTCTCGCTCATGTATCGGGGTTTTATTCTGTTATCAGTTGAATCTGCAGTACTTCAGAAAAGCTGTCCTTATTCTGGGAACCGACTGAATCATTTCAGGCATGTTTTACACAATGCATTTTACACTGTGTTTTTCAGTGGGTTTCGCTCATATTTCCCTGTGCTCTTACAGTAGTTAGCGCTTTGAGCTTTTTGATCTCTGCCTGCCTCTTTCATGCTATCTGAAGCACCAGAAGTATTGTATCGAAGTTAGATGTAATCGCTTGACCATAAACTGAACTTGACCGGTCTTTCGCATTGTAGATGAATCTTGACTTTAGTCCAGCTGCATTTGAAAACTGGCAAGGTAATTTGGGCAAAGCAATAAAGGTAGTGTATAAATGGTCAATGACTCAGGTTTATTGGTGACGCTTGTAGTGAGAGAGAGCATTTCAGAGGCGTTTTGGAGGCTGGGGACAGTCATGGCCAGGGGTTAAACCTGATAGTGACAGACCGAGCAGCGCCAGCAAATTAAAGCTCAGTCAAGCACTGTGGAAAAGTACACCATGGACTGCTAATGCTGGCCCGCAGCAGCCCCATCAGTGTGCTCAGGTGTGTGGCTAGAACCGAAAAATGCGAAACTGTGAGAGGCTGAGAAAGAACAAAAACAGAGTAGTGCTCAAGTGGACACGATGGTGCTGAATCTGGCAGACTCTGATTTTGGCAGACTTATGACCTAGAATTTTTTATAAAATAATTCATGTAAATATAGCTTCACAATCTACTGGAATGAGGGCGTGTGCTATATCCACCCAGCCTCATAAAACATTCACAAGATCCTGATGCTTTCAGCAGCAGATGAGGTTGAGCGATCGAGTGGACTCATACCGCCGGGTAGAGGTGTGTGTCCAGATAATTTTGGCCCATGCGTGGCCCACATGGGGCACTTCATTCTTTGGTTACTTGAAAAATAACCCAACATGCCTAAAAAAAAAAAAACATCCAAAAATGGGATTTTCTAATATCCAAAATATTCCAAAATGTGTAGCAACAGAACATCTAACCTCGATACGTATGCATTCACTACTGTTCAAAAGTCTCTTATGCTACCCAAGGCTGCATTCATGTGGTTAAGTATATAGTACAGTAATATTGTGAAATTGTATTATTCCAAAATGATTTATTTTAATATATTTTCAATTTAAATGTTTTTGTTCCTGTGATGGATGGCAACAATGATTTATTGTAGCAGTTATTACTCTACATTTAGTCCTCACTCCTCAGTGTCATGTGATCTTTCAGAAATCATAATATGGTGCTCAAGAAACATTTCTCATTATTATAAATGCATGAAACAGCTGTGCTGCTAAATATTTTTGTGGAAACCATGATTTTTTTTTTAGGATTCTTTGAGAACAGTATTTATTTAAAATAGAAATGTTTTGTAACATTATTAATGTTTTTCATGTCACTTTTGATAAGTTTAATGCACCCTTGCCGAATATTAATTTAATATAAAAAAACAAATTTTGGAATGGTATAGTCTTAGTGTAATATAATCGTAACATTGCCTTTTAATTGGAATTTAAAATTCAGCATTAAAATGTTAAATTGATATTTTTGTGTATTTTTTTCTACTAGAATATGCAGGGTTTATCATTATTATTATTTTCTATACAAATGTGTCAATCATTTTTGGCCTTTGAATTGCTCAGCACTGTTTTTTTTGTCCATTATGTGCCATTTTTAAGAGAGAAAATAGTCCAAATACTTTCATATTATTTGTAGGAATAGATCTGCTACGCTATTTTTTTTTCTACAGAAGTTCTACATCCTTCCTAATAAACGCATAACCGTGTGAGCTTCCAGGGACTTGTAATGTTTGATATTACTGTGTGAGTTACACATCCCTGTGTGATATAGTAGTGGGTGTTAAACTCTTATTAGGCAGTGGGCCAGATTTGTCTACTTCCCTTACGAAAAAGAACTAGTAATCCTATAAGATTTGTATTATATGTAATACTTCTGTGATTTTCTGTAATACCTGTATAGTACTTCTATAGTTTATCCTAAAATACTACAAGATTCCAATGGTTGTTTTTCATAAGGGATGTCTAACTCACATTAGCGTTATCAGCTGAAGATTAGCTTGATAGGCCAATCGCTACGTAAAAATGACACCAGCCGTGAACCTGTCAGCACAGTCCCTCGGCATCTCCATACTGATCACTGTTTTACAACATCTCTTCGTACAACACCTCTGGCCATTTGGTTCATTGGTTGGGTCATTGAGCCAACTAATTAAATGTTTATTTAAATAAGGTCAATCATACATATTGCAGTTAATTTTGCAATGTATCGTTGCCGGTCGGCAGACATCAATGCCTCGCAATAAGACATTTTTGTCATTCAAATACAGACAATGTTTGCTGTGTTTTCCCCCATGTCGACTCTGCCCTCACCCCCAACTATGACTAGTTGCTGACTGTATTGCTATTGCCAATTCATACACAACACGCTGCTGTGAGCAAGTAAGACTTGCTGCTGCTTTATAATAGCATATAAACTACCCATAGCAGGTCTATACTGGTGGAACTGGGGACGGTGGAGGGTTTCTGAAAGCGCACTGCACTACTAAGGTAAATGCTAACCAAGTATTTGAAGGTTGAGCATGCAAGCTCATTGGCTACTGATATGATTGCTAGCAGTTTTATGTGAATTTGAGATACTTTGAATGTCTCAATCATATCTGTTGTATACGGGTCAATGACGTGGCGTGTCAATTCTGGTGTCCAAAGCATATTCATTATATTAAAAATGTATAATTTTTTTAATGAACTTCATTAAATGACTCAAATTCCCCCTCTTTTATTACTCATGTGAGAATCCAATATAAATAATTAATCTTGAAGGAACTATTGAGCTCAAAAGTCCCAAAATGTCATTCCGGGTAACTGTCCCGGCTTAAAATCTGAATACAAAAATACAACAAAAATGTAAAAAATATAAATAAAAGTATTTAAAATCTACTTGGGCATAATTGTATTGATGTTTTCAACGATACCTACAAATATAGTGATAATACTACCCTTATTTACATTTTTATGACAGAAAGACTTTTGTCCCCAAATTGTGAATTCTCTAATGTCATTCCTGGATAACAGACCTCAATGACCATTTTGGACCATAATGCATTTTGGTATGTCATGTGACATAATATTGTATCAAAAAGAAGACCCTGAAGGAGCATCAGAACATGTGCAGAGGTTAGTAAGCTGCTCTTAAAATGTTGATATTTTGACCTTTTCGGTCACTGGTTCACTTTGCAGCAATATCATGTGTCCTTTTGGATAACACTAATAAAACATTTATAATGTTTTTATAATAAAAAACGATCTATTTGATCTAAAAGATTACCTTATAGCGATGATAGCTAAGTTGTAATTTTCCATAGGTGGTTAAGTTAGTGCCTGATTATAAAGAAAAAATATCTGTTTTGTCATTCCTGGATAACAACATGTCATTCTTGGATAACAAAAAAACTCTGTTAGCCAGGACATGTCATCCGTTATCCAGAATGACACATGCGTAACAATCTAGTTTTTAATTAACATTTATAAACTTTTAGGCATAGTTATTTTAGTTATATTATTAACATTAATATTATTTACATAATTGTATGTAATTTGCTGTCATTCATCTTGATTTCATATGATTCAATGAGTCACATTCAATTAATTGAATTTTGCAATGTTAACTGACCACTACTAAATGCTTTATAACTACTTGAATTAACCCTGAATGCAGTAGAAATAGATGTTAATAAAGCATTTATTTACACATTAAGTAACTACTACAATATGTATAAATAAAAATAATAAGAATGTATGAATGTACATTTAAATATTTTATTAATCATTTACTTACGCTTTCTAAGTGATCTTATGAATCACTGACAGTTCCTACATAACGAGTAAGTATTTCTAAT